CTGAGAAAACCAAACTTTTTCCGGCCATGGATCCCGACGATCCAACTTCAATAATCTTTACAAAAATCAGAACTTTAGAACCAGAAAACGCACCCAAAATCATTGGCTATTTTCTATTACAAGACATGGACCAAAGAGATTTGATTCGTATCGCTCATGGACCTGACACTCTCTTACAAACTTTCTGTCGAAAAGCTAAATCCGATTTGGGTCTTTCTTCTAATGGTTTCTCACTACTAAACCCTATCTCTAGACCCATCAACATCCATCTCCAACAACAACAACAACCATTATCTCAGTCTTCACCAAGGAATGGGTTTTTAGACTTCTCTCGAAACCCTAACCCTAACCCTTTGTCTCCTTCCTTAAACCCTAATTTCACTTCTAGTCCCTTTGGTGACGGTTCTTCACTCTTCGCTTCTTCTTCTTCCGGAGATCAGTTTTCATTTCTCAACGAGCATAAGAGGAGTTTCTCTGCGAGTGATGTTTGTATTGAATCAGAGGAGGAACAAGGGTTTGGTCCGTTTGGTCCGTTTGGAGGTTATAGGTTTCCACAAGTTGATGATTTTGGTTCCTCTAGTGGTGGTCTTAGTGAGAGGGATTACATGTGTTTACAGAGAGAAGAGTTAATGAGGTTGAAGTTAGTTCAGCAACAGAGAATGGCTGCTACTGCTAAATTCATGGCTTCTGCTTGTGGTGGTTCAGCCTCTTCAATGTCACATGAAAAAGACATTAATTTCCTCCTCCAAACAAGGAATTTGCAAAGGTAAATTTTTGTGCCTCTTTGCTTTATTTGGTTAGTTAAAGGCTTAGACTTTACCATAAAAGTGTAACATTTGGTGAATTAAGAAGTTTTGCTTATGTTGTAGACAAGGATCAGGACAGTTTGGAGAAGAGAGTGGTTACTATTATAGTCAAAACCGGCATGAAAGAGATGATTCTGTATCTAGACAGATTTACTTGACATTTCCATCTGAAAGCTCCTTCACCGATGAAGACGTATCCAATTACTTCAGGTTGGGAGAGAGTCTGAGCTCTGTTTAGTTTTTTACATTTTGGTTATGTTGCTTCTTTGAATTTGAGAGTAATGGTTTCTTGAATGTGTAGCAATTTCGGAACTGTGGAAGATGTGAGGATTCCGTATCAGCAGCAACGGATGTATGGTTTTGTTACTTTCGCTAATGCTGAAACCGTGAGAAGCATATTGGCTCGAGGAAACCCGCATTTCATTTGTGATTCACGCGTGCTCGTTAAACCGTACAAGGAGAAAGGAAAAATCCTTCAAAGGTATAAGTACCAATGCTCGATCACTCTCTTTGTTAACGTTTCCTCAAGGTTTTTTTCGTCTCTTGGGTTCCTATACTTATTGTAGTTTGGTGAAACATGTAGCAAGAGGCAAATGCAGCAACTGCAACAGCTTATAGAGAGAGGGAACTATTCTCCGTCTTCAAGTCCTTCTGGATTGGACTCAAGAGATCTATATGATTGTCACTTGGGTGAGTTTCGATTGAGTTAAGAAAACTGATTTTGTTGTTTCTTTCTTTTACTGAGATAGTAACTCTTCGTCTTCTTTTCGTTACCAGGACCAAGGATGTTTTCAAACAAAACACAGGAGATGCTGAGAAGAAAAGCCGAGCAACAAGCTGATTTACAACAAGCTATTGAAGTAGAGCTCCAAAGAAGAAGGTTCTTAAATCTGCGATTGCCTGAGATGGAAAATGAATCTATTCACCATCACCAGCGTAGTCTTTCTATCGGCTCTCCCTCTCGATTCAATCATAGTCTTCTCTTTCAATCAGAAAACAACATAGAAG